AAGGGTGTAGGAAGGCCCTCTTAGTCATGCTAGGACACTTCGTGTAGTGGTAGCTAGGGATCAGGAGGACTTATAAGAGAGGGGAGTGACTCGTTATCCATCTTTGGAGGCCGGGCCTCACAGGTAAGTGCCGTGTGACCTGCGTAAGCCCGTGGGAGGTTGCTTGGTGCTTCATGGCCTGTTGGGGGTGTGCTGGGTTCTCTTCCTCTTCTCTGCGGTCTTGGTTGTGTGTGTGAGCTTGCGGATTGCTTTCTCACCTGATGGATGGATGGATGATGTATCTGCTCTAAATGACATATCTTTCTACGGTGCAATGTCTTTTCATTTTTGATTGGTAGTAGGGGTAAGTTCTTGCTGAAAGTTGTCTTCTCCTTTTCAGTACGATAGAGACAGTTTGGGACTGGCTTGGTACCCCTGTCTCGTTAGACCTGGTCCACGACCTACTTGGGACCTTTTGGGGCCAGTGGGCCCAGGCCCAACGGGACAGGACCCTTCGGGCCCAGATCTGCTGCCGCTAGTGCATTTCTTTGCTGTGTTGAATCTGGGGGGACACGCGGACAGCAAGGGCATTCCTTTCAAGGGGATCTTGACTGGTCTTACCGCATGTGATCACATACTGCCCCGCGTCTGGCTCGGCGACCGTCTGCACCCCTCGAAATCTCCATTGCTGCAGATTAGTCTTCTTCGTCTGATTTATTGTGATGCATGTCCCCTGTCAGGTTAGGCAAGAGGGGATCTCCAGCTGATCTGATCGGGCCCGTTCTATAAATCAGACCTCTCTGCTGTTTTATTTTTATTTATTTATTCATTTTATTTATTTATTATTCTGCCGCGTGCCACGCTCCAAGTCCAAATGATTCGCCGCTCCGGCTAGGAGTTCTACCTTCCTCTCTGAGTGGTTTTCTGTTTGTTTCTTTCACCTGAACTATCTATGTCCGGTATCGAGACGCGTGCGCAGTCAGCGAAAAGAGAAGAAAAGGGGAGAGAGGGTGTGCTGTTTGAGAGTGTGAGGAGGGGCAAGAGGAGTGTTCGTCCAAACGTAAGGAGAGAGCGGACCCCTCTTGAGAGATCTACTGACATCCCTTCCTCCGGCATGGCGGACATCACGTCTGTCCAATGGCAGGCCATGCTGGACGCGACAGACGAGAGCCAGAAACTGTTCTTCCAAAAGTTGTATGATGATGCCGTACAGAAGGAAAGGGAGGCAGAGGCAGCAGCTAGAGCTACAAGTATAGCTGCTCAAGAGGCTCTCCTACAGGTCCCGGAAGCCAATGCTGACCGGTTCCTGGAGAGGCTAGCTGCTGCCGTCACAACCTTGGTTCGACTGCGGGACTTGGAAGATCTTGAGGCCCGCGTAACAGCGCTGGAGCARCGGAACCAAGAGCTGCAGGCTGAGATAACCAGCCTCAAACAGTCCCAACTGTCTGCCCCCCGCCCTCCTAACCCTCGGTCTGCTGTAGTCCCGGTCTCTCAATCAAACACAGCCCTCATAGTAAGATCAAGTGGAACCATGGCAAGCGCAGGAACCGGTGCCAGCTCCTCGAGCGGCAGCGCCGGCAGTTCTGCGCTGGTCATGGTCCCAAATGCAGGGACTTCAGCCCAAAACACCACAGTCCTTAATGACGTTCAGTACAGCGGTCCCACGGTGGACAAGCGGGCGGCCACGCTGCCGTCCAAGTAGGATGGGAAGGCAGACATCACCTCTTGGATTAGTTCCATGCGGTCGTACTTCGAGGTCATGCGGACACCGCAAGAGGACCGAAGTATGATCATGGGAACTAATACTGAGCCCGCCGTACGAAACCACATTGAGCTCCACGTTATTGCTGCAGGCTATGAACGCATAGACCTGACTGAATGGCTGAAGGTCACCCCTGTCCGCGCTCTTGAGGATCTTCTCCTTGACCGGTACCAAGATAAACATGCTGCGCTCAAGGCTAGGCTGAAGCTTGAGGCCCTCAAGGGCCAAACATGGAGGTCATCCATGCAGGCTTTGGAACAACACTTGACTGGTCTGTTCACCACTCCGGATCTGGGAATGACCGACGTGTCTTGTATGGATGTAGTCATGGGAGTGGCCCCTAAAGAATACCTCTCCCTGCTAGCACTCAAGGACCATACCACCTGGCGAGAGCTCATGAAGGACCAAGTCAACCTAGAGGCCAAGGACCTCGCCAGGCGCAAGAAGGCGCCCGCTGCAGGTGGGAAACCACAACGCAAGCGGTTTGGAAGCAGCAACCAGCTTGCACTGCATGATCACCGGGAGGCTGAAGATCAGTCCTATGCGGATGATCTGTCTCTAGATGACGATCTAGAGTCGGACTCTGATACGGGTTGTTCCACATCAGCCATTGAGTGTGACAGAAATGAAGATGAAAAACTTAATGCCTTAAAAAAGACTACTTCAAATAAGGGGCCTAACCGTGGTTCGGGTAAGGGAACTGTCGTACACCTTCCCAAAAATGCTAAGATCCCTGAGAAACCGGAGGACGCTTCTACCAAGCCTTGGGAAACCCTCCGCATCAGCCAAAAGGAATGGGAAAGAAGGTCCAAACTGCGCATATGCTTGCATTGTCAAAAGCCTGGGCATGCTGTGCAGGATTGCTACCGTCTTCAGGGAAACAGGCAAGGGGCGTAGAGGAGACATCAGCGCTCTCTACGACAAGGGAAGCTGAGCAGCCAATTGCGGTCCCTTCCGAGGAGCCTAGATCTGATCAGCAGCTTGCTCTTGAAGCCCGAACTAATGTTGATTCCAAGGCTGGTGCAGTCCRAGTGTTATACACTGAGCCTTGGGAGGAGTCTAAAGAAGTTGACTTCCACGCCCACATGGAGCACTGGCTGCAGCTCAAGCAGCAACGCCGTGTTCAAGGGGGCGTGGAGCTGACTTTCTTTAAACTGCTCATTAACCGCCGATATATCCGTGTGCTGATTGACAGTGGTTCAACCACTAATTTATTCTCTCCGAACAGGATTCGTAAGGCGGGCCTACGTATGAAGCAAGTGGAACTGCAGAACCCTTGCCGGACTCAGGTGGGCAACCAAGAGGTTGTCACTTCCACTCATGCTGTCAAAGGTGTGCGCATCACCTTTGACAAGGACCGCATTGTCATACATGAGCTCAACTTCTATGTCATGGACAAGTGTTCGTTCGACGCGGTCATTGGCTTGGGCTGGCTAAAGGCTCATTGCCTAAGGACCACGTGGGCGGACAATCAGTTCGTGGTACTTGATGCCAAGGGGAACGAGCGTACCGTCTTATTAGATGAGACGCGCGAGTCTCCTGTGACTCTTCTAAGTGCAAACAAATTCTGCAGGTCAATGCGCAGGCGCAAGGAAGCTGAGTTTGTAAATATAGCTCTTATGAAGTTTCTCCATGTGCCTTCTACTTTCGCTGCATTTTCTACCTCTGAAGGTAACTCTCCCTCTACGACTTCTACTGTAAATAACCAACTTGTTTCTGATCCAAATACCTCGAAACCGGTTGTGATTGCTGTAAATTCTCAATCTGGTTTTCTTTCCCCTGATGAGGATGATCCTCCACCGGAAATTCCAGCGAACATTCGCCGTCTATTAGATCGATTTCCTGAAGTCTTGGTTGAACCTCGTGGAGTACCCGAGCGTCCAGTCAAACACAAGATCGAGATAGTAGAAGGGAGTGTTCCTCCAAAGGGCGGCGTCTACCGTATGGGACAAGGCGAGTTGGAGGAGCTGCAGAGACAAATCGATGACATGATTGACCGTGGATGGATTAGGCCTAGTGAGTCTGAATCGGTGCACCTGTTCTGTTTGTGCCGAAGAAAGGAGGCAAGCTCCGGATGTGTATTGATTATCGTGGCCTCAATCGAATCACCCGAAAGAATGTTTATCCTTTGCCTCGCATAGATGATCTGCTAGATGCGGCCGGTGGGTGCAAGGTCTTCTCTAAGATCGACCTCAAATCTGGCTACCACCAGATTGAAGTTGATCCGAGTGACCAGCACAAGACTACATTCAAAACACGCGATGGGCTGTACGAGTTTATCGTTATGCCCTTCGGTCTCACGAATGCACCAGCCACATTTCAGTGCCTCATGGACAAGGTACTTCGCCATCAACTCAACAGGTTTGTGGTTGTGTACCTTGATGATATCCTGATCTTCAACAAAACCATGGAAGAGCACCTCAAGCACCTTGAGGAAGTTTTGCAGGTCCTCAAGGAGGCGCAACTGCACCTCAACTTAGAGAAATCTGAGTTTGGAAGGGACAGCGTCATCTATCTTGGGCATCGGTTGTCTGCAAACGGCCTTGAGCCGGAGGCAACCAAGGTTGAGGTCATTCGAAACTGGCCTCAACCAACAAATGTACGCGAACTGCGCTCTTTCCTCGGTTTGGCCTCGTATTACCGGAAGTTTGTGCCCAAATTCTCTGTCATTGCTCACCCTCTCTCAAGACTAACCAGCAAAAATGTTGCCTATGCATGGTGTGAGTCTGGGTTCCAAGCCTTGAAAGAGGCATTGGTGAGTCATCCTGTGCTTCGCATTGCAGATCCCAACCTCACGTTCGTAGTCACTACGGATGCGAGCCAGTTCGGGATTGGTGCAGTGCTGCAACAAGTTGATGGTGATGGCCTGCGTCCGCTCGAGTATTACAGCAAACGCATGCCCAGCCACAAGGTAGGTACTTCCACATATATGCGCGAGCTTTACGTCCTGCGTGAAGCCCTCGCACATTGGAAGCACTACCTCTTGGGTCGCCACTTCAAGGTCTACTCTGATCATCAGACCTTGTAGTGGATTCAGACACAATCTGAACTCTCTCCTACATTGACCCGCTGGTTGCATGACATTGATGTTTACAGTTTCGAGTTGAAACATAAGAAAGGTTGTTATAACCGGGTCGCTGATGCATTGTCCCGCCATCCTGAATTCTTGACTTGCCTTGTGGGTTCATACTACCTCCGAAGGAAACTGGAGGAGGATCTGGCTGAACACACCGCCAAGACCTCAGTCCCATCCTTGAGCAGCTCAGGGCTGACCCTAATAGTCAGCCTGATTTTCATGAATGCGAGGGTCTTGTATTCCGCCGGTATGGGAAGTTTGACTGTTTGTGCGTACCCAACCATGCGCCTCTCCGAACTCATTTCTTGGATTTGGCACATGGTCGGAGTGGACATTTTGGCTTTGAGAAGACTTATGGAAGTCTTCTACAGCAATTTGATTGGCCAGGAATGAAAGGATCTGCTCAGAAATTCATTGCTGAATGTCAGGTATGCCAAAGAATCAAGGTCCACAGGCATAAGCCTTATGGCCTACTGAGACCTCTCCCCATTCCTGATGGACCCGGTGAGTCGATTTCCATCGACTTCACGGACATGGGAAAGGTGAGTGAGGCTGGGAATTCACAAGTCATGGTCATTGTGGACCGCTTCTCCAAATTTCTGAACTTGATTCCTCTCCCTCGTCATGCCTTGTCATCGAGGAATTCCATCAGCAGTACATTCTGCAGCTCGGCGTCGCGAAAACTATTGTGAGTGATCGGGACACCAGATTCATCAGCAAAGATTGGAAAGACTTCACGTCTCAGATCTACGACATCAAACTGAACAGGACTTCTGGTCGACACCCCGAAGCCAACGGATTGGCCGAGGAGATCAACCAGACTGTCATCCAACTGCTACGCGCACTGATTGTTCCAGATCAGAACACGTGGGACAAGGAATTACACAAAGTGAAGGGGCTGTACAACAACTCCATTCACTCTGCAACTTGTGTGACACCAAATCAGTTGCAGTATGGATGGCCGATGCGGAATTCCCTCTCCTATCTGTTCCCCGAACGGTCACCTGGTCTGATGCCCGGCATGCTTGGCTACAATGCCAAGTACGCACGCTTGCTCAAAGCTGTTATTGCAGCCATGAACAAGCGCCAGCATGCCATGATCAACATGCTAACAAGCTGCGCAAAGAAGAAAAATTCAAAGTTGGGGATTATGTTTGGGTCAAGATGTCTGAGTTTTCTGATGAAGAGGGCGTATCACGGAAACTTCTTCCATTGTACTACGGCCCTTGGCAGATTCTGAAGGTAATCGGGGATGACTTTGCCCCTTCATTTGTGATTGACGTGCCTCCTCATCTGCGCACGTATCCGGTCTTTCATGCGTCCAAACTGTTCCCACACATTGATGATGAGACGTTTCCCTTCCGAGATCCTATGATACCCCGCCCTATCGACGGTGGCCATGAGATAGACCGAATCGTTTCTCACGAGGGCAGAGGGAGGAACAAACAGTATAAGGTTCACTTCCTCTACCACCCGTTGACTGAATTCTTCTGCATCGACCGGAAAGAGCTGCTAAAGAATGCTCCCCGTGTTGTGAACGCTTATGAAAGACAGATCACTGAGGGATAGACTGCTAAGTTCACTGCAACAATGACTCCGCATGGATTGACTAAGTCTCTCTTTCTGATGTACTCCTACGATACGTTCTGTGCCGACTCTGACTGAGTTACTCGCTCGAAGGGACCTCGCTCTCGAGAGGGGAGTATGTAATGACCCGCCAAAAACACAGACTGAGAACACTGCTGATTTCTGGTATTTGTCACTGGAATGAATGCCTTGCTGTGATTCCCGCATTCTGTTGTGGTTCCAAGTCTGTGTGTGTGCGTGCCTGCTGGTTTGCATGCCTGTCTGAGTGCTTGCCGGTTGGGTACGTGTGTGTGTGACCCGCAAGGGTACTTGTTGGTTSCAAGGCCCRCCGGGCCGGTACTTACCTGTGGCCGTGACTTTGAAGGGTTGCAGGAGGGGTGAACACGCCGGTAGCGGGGGGTAGGCCCACGACACTTAGAGCAGCCGGGGAAAAACACTCAAGTAGCAGGTAGGCCGAGCAGAAGAAGACAAAAAAGTTGGCATTTTTAGAGGCCCAGTAGCGGTAGGTTAGAGGTAGGCCGGTACCAGTCCAAGTAGCCCGGGTCTAGGGCCTGTGCGGACGATAACAGAGCCTGCAATGATGTTTCCCTCCGAAAGGGAGGAGGTACCGGTTGCTGGGATGGCACTCGGCCTAGGAAGTCACCGCCCAGGAGGCCGGTAGGCCGCTATATCTTCAGGAAGAGCGGAGAGCTCTTCCTCATTTGCGGTGTGCAAGGATTGGCGTCATGCTGCTGGAGCGCTAGCGCTGGGCGGAGGTGAAGGTAGCTGGGAGCTCAGCCTGGCTATGTCGAGCAACCCAGCCTGAGGAGGAGGAAGAAGGGGGTAAGGTAGGAGAGTGGCAGGGCACTTAMCTGGCTATGGTGGACACCGTCTTCATCACCTCRTTGGGCGCTGCATCTGGAAGGCCCCAGTTGGGGTAGYGCTGCACCAGGGCAGCTCGAGGCAGAGTCAGGCATAGCGGACCAAGTCAAGCAGCGGCACAGCTGCTTTGTCTTCTGGACATCAGGGCAGCATCATAGCTGCCTCCCAGTAGTCCGCCATGGCCTATGCATGAGAGAGGAGGTTGAAGGGGGGAAGCCATAGCCATGGTGGACTTGTTGTTGTTGTTGTTGTTGTTGTGAGTTGAGTCAGCAGTAAGAGGGAACTTCGGATATTGATTCTGGTTCATCCATTCATTGTTATTATTATTATTGAGAGAAGAATAAGATTGGTGAAGAGAAGGAGGAGGAAGGTGGAGAGAGAAGGGGGAATGGTCATTGGTCTTGCTGGTCTTCTTCTTCTTCTTCTTCTTCTTCTTCTTTACCTCTCCTCTGGTCTTTATCTCTTTGCAAGGGCTTTCATTTCTTTCGCAATTGGGTGGCATTGTCTTTCATTGTGAATTTGCACTTGGGAAATGACCAGGATCGTAACAGAAGGATATTTTGTTTGCCTGGTCCAAGATCTTCCCGACCACTCTGGTTCATCCGGAATCCCTGGAAGAAGTTCTTATGCAACCTATTTTTGAAAATCCTTTGTTGTGTGGTCCGGACGACTCTCCCTTCTCAGCCCCTGGTTGTTTTGGAAAGGCTTGGGTTGAAAGAGGTATAATTTGTTTGAAAGATCTGTGGGATAAGGAGCTCAGAGAATGGAGGTCGGAGGCGTCTATTAGAAACCAGCTCAGGTATTTGCGCAAAGTAGAGGAACACCTTGCGGATATTCAAAACGCACTTCCTCCAAAATGGAATCATCTGCTTTATGGTCAAACGACTGGAAACTCCTGGCTTAAAGTGGAGGGTTTTCAACAGCCTCAGCAACAGTACGTGCAGCAGCAGGATCTGCATTACGGTGAACATCAACAGCAGCAGTTGTATGAATTCTGGAATGTGCTTCGGCCTGAAGATGGCGGTGGTTACGAGGTGGAGGTATGGACGGAAACAGCAATTACTTCTTTTACAAGATTGTCAAGTTTTAAGGAAAAGAGATTGGTGGCTTCATTGTCGGATACCACTCCGGTATTAACAGAAATCTGTGTTAAAAGTGGGGTCCCTGAGGCAAATGCACAGAGAAACACAGATACTTATCCGGAGGTAAAACTGGTCGCAAAAGGGAAACCCCTGCTGGAGATGGCCGTGCACCCCGGTTCGGTGGGTTGGATAGATCAGAAGACCAGGAAAGTTATAGGTCTGGGTGGATATTCCACTAAGAGAGGGGTGGATCTTTTAAGACAGAAATGTAGGAAGCAGCCAATAGATATAATAGTGAAGAGAAGGGAGGAACAGTCACTACCCACCGTAGCAAGGAAGGATCTGCAGAAACATTGGAAGCATTTGAAGACCTTGCCATCTCAGAAACATGCCAGTATTTTAGCTCTACATTCTTTATTGGTTAGGGCTTCGGCAATGTGGCTGCATTCGAGAGGAATGGAGATCTCTACTACATTTACTTGCTGCAACTGGGCGTGGGAATCTACGAACCACTTGTGGTATGCTTGCCCCCTGTCAAGAAGGGTATAGACCTGGTGGGAGCAGTGGTGGAAGCAGATCACAAAAGATATTTTTCCATGGAATGAAAGTTGGATTCTGTCAGGCATCTTGCCAGGGTCCTTGCCCGCAACTGTGGGGTGGGGGTATGTAGCCCAGGTGATTAGGGGCATTATCTTTGCAGTTATCTGGGAAGATCGCAACGATCAAGTGTTTAGGAACTCACACCTTTCGCAGACAGCCATTATAAACAAAGTCAAGGCAGAGATTAGACATACTATTATTGCAGATTGGAGGAGACGAACGGGTAGGAAACTTGGGGGTAGATCAGCTGGCTGGTTTTCAAGGACATGGAGTCTGAATGGGCAGCTAGTTCTTTTGAAATCTGGTGGCACCTTTCAGTTTCCCTGGTGGTTGCTGAAAGATGGAGAATGAGAGGCCGCCTCCCCCCTAGAGGTTGGTTACTGCTACTTCCGGGCATCAGTATACTGTGTAGTACAGTTAGTAATATTTCTCTTAGGATCGCTTTAGGTCCGAAGATAGTTGAGCGGTGTGAGGTTGTAATTCAGGATTCCGGGTCCCAAAGGGTCTCTTAAAAAACAAAACTGGGTACGGCTCCCAGATGAGTCTTCTTTGTTTCCGGGTAGACTGGGAGGACCCCGGCCTCAGGCAACAGTAAAATCTAAATTTAAAGCCTTAAAAAAAAAAAAAAAAAAAAAAAGAACCGGCAAAAACCAAGATCCTCCTCTGAAAAAAAAAAAAAAAAAGATCGTCCTCCTAGTATGTAGGGTCCCCCCATGAGGCCTCAAGGGCCTCACTCCTGTAGTCTCTCCACATGCACAAAAGACAAAAAGTATGCCGGTGAATAGTTCCATGTTCCGGTAGAAGATTCATTCTCATTTTGCACAGTGCCATATTTTTTTTTGTCTTTTGTGTGTGTGTCGTGGCCAGTCGAGTGAGGGCCTGGCTCCACTACTCTCCAAATGTGCAAAATGAGAATGAATCTTCTGCTGGAACATTGAACTATACGCCACCATATTTTCAGGGGGTCTGTTGGATAGTCAATCTGGCAGACCCAAAGTTTCAGGGGGGTCTGTTGGTACCCCTAGTATGGCCGTGGTAATCGCAGGGCCCCAAATTCCCCCCCTTCCGATCATCCACGGAAACCTGCTCCGGCTCGAAAAGGTCTTCGTCATGAAAAGGGACTGGCGATCCGCAAGAAAACTGGGGGTGGCTGTAGGGGTGTGGTTCACACTGGTTTTGTTGGGGTGTTTTTTCTCCGATTTGCGAGGGGTGCAGCTTCTTTCCCCTTGTTTTTTTTCTGTTTTTTTTTTTGTGGGGGGGGGTGTTGTTCCTGACCCCATTTTTGAATCACCACCACCATTTTCTTTTTGCCATTGTGGTAACCGCAGGGCCGCAAGTTTTTCCAGGGGGTGTGCTGGATGGTCCGTCTGACAGCCCCATTTCAGGGCGACATTTCATGTTTTTTCAGGGCCCCATTTCAGGTTTTTTCAGGGTCCCATTTCCCCCCCTTTCCTATCTGCACAAACTGGCTGAGGCCCAAAAAGATCGCCTCGGTCGTGAAAGGGGAGTTGCAATCTGTGAAAAGTCGGTTGTGGTAGGGGTCCGGTTCTGCGTGCATTCTCGTTCTAAATGGGTGGACCTCCATTGCAAGGGAGGGGAGGAGGCGGGGGGAGGGGCTGCGGGGGGCTTAGGAGGGCCAGTGCCCTGCAGTGTTTGGGTTTGAAGTCCTTATGTCCCATCGAGAGGTTGATTTACCATTTGATTGTTACCGTCAGAGATTATTGTGTCTATAAAGACCTAGGCCTAGTTCCAATGGGGCCTCCTCCTCAGGGATCAAGGCCAGGCAGACCATTCTGGTGCTATGTTTGGGCTAGCTTATCGTGAACCTAGCCAGTTTAATGCCACCAGTACCTCCAAGGCCTCTTTTCCCAACGCTCGATTTTGCCTGCCCCTGGGCCATCGAACTGTTACAGGGCAAGGGCCTATTGCCTTACCATGAGGGCACGGGTGCGCAGCCCGTAGTTTCTGTTGATGTGGCTGGGGAAGGGTAAGATAGTGATTCTGCTGTGTTTATGTTTTGGGATGTCTGCTATATATAACCCCACGAGTGAGAGTGCGTGTGTGCGTATATCTGCGTAATACTGTGTATATGTGAGAGTGAGTGTGTGTGTGTGTGTGTGTGTGTGTGTGTGTGTGTGTGTGTGTGTGTGTGTGTTTGATGAGATGAGTCCACTGCACCTTATGATGCAGCGAGCCGCGTTTATATAAGACACAACATAAATAATGCCAATAGCACAGACATCACAGCATCGAACGAATCACACCCTGATCCAAGCGACTGCTCCTTTCGACTGGGTATGCACGACCTCACTGACTTCCCTACAAAGACACAAGGACTGGAGCCCCAAGGCACTAAGCCATGAGCTGAAACAAACAATACGCAACAACTAGGGGAAGGCAGAAGAAAAGACAGTGAGGGACAAAGACAGACGGCATCAACAAAGGGCGAAGGCTGGAGGGCAAGGGGGAGGGCTGACAGACAGCATGCCGCAAAGCAAACAGCCCAAGGCAGCAAAGCACATAGGCTGGAGGGCATGGGAGAGGTGGGTGGGCAGGCAAACAGCACAAAACAACAAAGCACACTGGGTGAAAGGCATGGGGTAGACGGATGGGCAAGCAACTACAAGACAAACGATGACAATGCAAAAACAACACCCGAAAAAAATACAAGTATGAACAAGGCAAAGACTGAAAAAAATGAAAAAATTAAAAAATAAACAGATGATGAAAGATTGTTTCATTGGAGTTGCACCGACTCATCAAGAGGCTGAACCCTCAACAATCTGCGGAATTCCCGTTTTTTATGGTTTGGGTCATGAACCCTTTGACCCTTGTTGAAGGCAGACTGTCCCCAAGAGGAACATAGCAGCAGGCAGCATCCCTGTGAAGCACCAGGCAACACAGTAGAGGCAACACGGCTGCACAACGCCAAAAACGACTGCAAGGAACGACATGGCACGCAGCGCGGCAGCCATGTAGTGAAGCACAAGGCAACACAAGCAAGGCAACAGCACTGCATGGGACGACAGGGCAAGTGAACCAGCAGCTGGACAACTGTGGAGCGGAGCACAAGGCACCAGCAACAAGGCAACCAACAAATGGGGCACACAAGCGGCAAGCACGGAAGGCACGGCCAGTGGATGAGCAGCATGGCAGTGGAGCAGCGAAGCGCAAGGCAACACCAACAACACGGCCACACCGCACAGCGAACACATCAACCTGCCAAGAACCACACGCGAAGCAAGCGGGACAGGCAGCAAGGCAGCGGCGGAGCGCAGACGAGGACGTCCACACATCCAACATGGAGCAAAGCAGCACATGACCTACTCATATCACGGTTGAACCCCGCAGACTGTTGGTTCCCACCACCCACTGAGCCAGGGAGTCACTCCGACGAACATCCGTCGTTACCGACAGGCAACACAGACATCCCGAACCGAGCAGCCCCCATAAGAGTGCAGCAGGCACTCCAAACGAGGAACTACCGACTGTTTGGCACTACTCAAGGGTGCTCAGTTGGGCACACAAAAAAAAGTTAGAAAAAATCAGGGGAAGAACAGACAACAGAAAAAAGACTGACAAACATAAAACTGATTGTGTGTGTGTGTGTGTGTGCGTGTGTGTGTGTGTGTGTGTGTGTGTGTGTGTGTGTGTGTGTGTGAGAGAGAGAGAGAGA